CTCGCGGCTATGCGCTCCCCGACACGCCCGACGGCCGCCAGCGCTGCTACATGTTCCGCTTCGTCCCGCCGCACTTGCCGGTCGACGCCAGCAATTCGGGCCGAGTGGTGTTGACAGGCGTGCGAAACCAGCGGACGCTGTGCGAGGAGGAGCCGACGACGGCAGCGGCGGGCTACGGCTGGGAGTGCGCGCGGGAGCGGAGCGAACTCCTCGCCGAAGTGATCGGCCGCTGCGCGGAGAGGGCCGACGGAGGCGCGTCGTCCACGGCGTGGCCGCTGCAGCGACGGCGGCGGGTGCTGACGGAGCTGAGGGCCGAGGCCAGTAAGCTGTCGGTGGTCGACGCCGAGGGTTTCGTCCTCTGCGACCAGCGATACTCGCGCATCGGGCTTCCCTCCCTCCAATTCGCAGCGCTCAGCGATCTGTCGCCGTTCCACTACCGGTTCGTGAAGCAGCCATTGATGCTGGCCGTGGTTCGCGCCTCCTTCCACGACCAACAGCGCTTCACCGAGCACTACCCCGAATGGCGGTACACGATCACACGCACACGCACACGCACACGCACACGCACACGCACACCGAGGCTCAGGCATCCGCTGCACGCAGGGAGTGGTTCGAGTACGTGTCCGACAAGCTGCGCGATTTTGCGCGCACGGTGGGTGCCTACTACGGGGCCAACATGCAGCGACTGAGCGACAGGGAGCTGGCCCAGCGGCTCAAGCAGCTCAGCAAGCCCCTCCAGTCCCAGCGCAAGCATCTGTGGAAGCAGCGCAAGCGCAACCAGAAGCAAAAGGCCGACGCTCACTCCGAGCCCGAGCCCGAGGCGAGCGACAACACCGACCGCAGCGCACCCATCGAGCGAGGACCCGACACGGGACCTGACAATGACGACGACAAGCGCATCAGGCAATTCGGCGACCTCTCGCGGCTCTTCTGGGCCATTCGACGGCGCGAGCAGCACAGTAGCAACGTCGGGAGCGACCCCCAGGAGGTTGCGGTAAGTCTCGCGGTGTTGGAGTGCCTGGTGGGCTGGGAGGGCCGTACGGACGGCCCGTTCACCCGCAAGCTCGAGGAGTGGCTGTGGAAAGCCGACAACAGCGCCGCCGTGACGAGCGACAAGGACAAGCTTGTGCGCATGCGCCACGCCAGCCACCGCCCCACTACCCTCCTCCGCCGCGCGGAGGAGCCCTGATACCCAACACACGCGCACGACGCGCACGTTCGCCGCACGACACACACACACAAGGATGGCCTTCGCACACTCCTCGAAGGACTGCCCCAGGGAAACCATCAAGGATCAACATATTGGTCGAACTGTCGTGGTTTAATCGTTGTTGGTGATTGTTCGGCGTGGGGGGTGTTTGCTGCTTTTTTGGACTCGTCCAGCTTGGTGGCCTTCTTGAAGGTGAGG